AAGGCATATACACGGTGCGGAAAAGAGGACAAAGTATTTGCTTACTTTACACTTTCACCACTTACGTGATGCCCGTCAGCATATTCAGTATCGCCAGTACCGATGCACACCGTCCGTTGAGCCTTTCATCTGCTGCGTAGTTGCTTCCTATTTAGCGGAGAAATCAAGGCGGTATAGGAAGTCAAGGAGCATCAATGACGATAAAGAACAAGTGCTGCAATCAAGTTCATGTCAATGCTAATCACGCGCTCTCTTCATGCACAAGACAAACATGTACCGTGCACCGCTGGCTAATAAACGCCCTGCACTGCAATCCTACGACCGCAAAGATGCATAGTGTGAAGGGAATTCCCCCTGGTGTGAGTCACTTGCGCTGCATGAATACACAGATGTGTTTGTCACATAAGGTTTCGCTAAGGTGGCTTCTGATGAAACGAAATCGATGCACCTGGAATCTCATGAGAGTTAGCATTCCTTTCGAAGGTTGCGCAGAAGCGCACCTCACATGCCCTCTGGTTCCGTCAAGTGGATCCCAATCATGCCACCTTTATCATATATTTTTGGAAATCGGTTTGACACGTCCTGCCCAATTAATATAAAAATACTGGGCTGAGTAATCAAAACGAGGTACAGGATAGACAAAAATGGTCATGCAGTTTATGCACTGAAGTGAAAGTTCAAGTTCCAGGGAATGTGTAAGAAGGTTCCTGGGGATAGGGAGAACACCAATTGTAATCCTTCCTATGAAGATCCCTTTTTAATTGTCTTCTCGAATCTCCGAGAGCGTCCTCGAGCACAACTTGCTCTCACACCGTTGTCCATCAGCGTCAGCCTCCCGAAGGTTTGGGCTTTCCGCTTCATAGTGTCCCTCCTCAATACCTGTAACGAACAGAAAGTGGGAGACGATTAGGTTTCCCGCATATATACGTCATAGCACTTCAGTGACCCACGCGATGACCAGTAGAGCTAACTCATAGATGTCACGGTCTGCTAATCCAAGACGATGAAGAGCTCCACCAGAGCCCTTCCAAATATAATCACAGTTCGAGATGATGTTTGGCCATTGTACCACATTGATCATTGGACATCCTTGTCACCAAGGTATGCCCGTATCGAATTGCATGCTTCCGTATACTTGGCAACTTTCTCACGGTGTGTCAGCTCTTGCCTGTGCGCCGATGTGCTAGCCACGTCTGCAACAATTATCGACCCTTTGACGCAAATTATGTGGTCCGGTTTACAGTATCTCACAGGTAATATAATAATGTGCTCAGCGCATACTGTCTCATGCTTCCGCTTGGCAACCTGGGCAATATTTGCTACTCCTCGACTGTGTCTCATGCACCGGGCGTCCTGGTTAGGGCAACACCTCTGTAAGATGTGCCCGATAGACTCTGGCTTCGCAAAACCACCACGGCACTTGACATCATCAGCCATCCGTGAAATCTCCCTGGAGCTCCGCACCTTCATAAGTAAGAGTTCGCCACTTAACCTAGTGACAGGAATAAAGAGACGGGGGAAGACTCTCCGGCCCGATTATATCTATTGGCTGCTACCGGCGTCTTGTTTGTCCAATTTTAATCCTTTACAATCACACGACGATTCAAGTTTCTCTCTACAGAGATTCTGTACGGCCATTTTATCCTCCACCGCAGTCGCCATTAGAGGGACTGGAACATTTCACTTCTGATGTCAACCTTGCACGCCTCTGTCTCCAGAAGACGCCGCACTAACGGCAACGGCGAAGAACATAGCCAACCGAACTTGGCTCTTTGAGCAAAAGAAACCAGAATGCTCCACGACAGCAAGCCGAGAGCCCTTAGCCCGCGACTCGTGTAAAAGAAATGGAGCGAAACATCTTACAGGTAACGCATCCACTCCCGCACTTTGGCTCGCACCATCTTATCTATCCGTTGCATGGTATTACGATGAGCATTCCGCAGAACCAACTCATGAAGAAATTTTGGAAATACGAAGTCACGCACCATATTCAGACGTTGTTTCGGTTTCAAAGGGGCACGAGAGAACTCGTTGAATCACTCAGCAAGAACAGACGTGATTTTTACCTGGCATCTCCTCTTACAGTTAAAGCGCAAACCAAGGTAGCGGATCTCATCCGCCACTAAAACCGGTCTTATCTCACCCCCATCAGGGGATAAGCTTGAGGCACGAGGACGATGCATTTCTGTTTGCCGAGCGTTTGGACTGTAATGGCCTGACACTTCGAGGTGTTCAACGAAATACTTGCCGCCAAAAGAGCCTGCTGTAATGCCACCATCTTCACAGACAACGCCTCTTGGGAGGAAGCGATCAACACAAGGTACTCCGCGTATACTGATGCACCAATCTCTTCGCCACATAGCCGCACTCGTCAACTAGGCAGGGGGTGGTAACAATCATCTCGTCCATTACCATGATGAAAAGAGAGGAGATACAGGGTCCCTCTGCCTCACACCTCTGTGACAATCCAACACTTCGTCGCCAAGAAGCAACTTCGAGGAGGTGCATAACACACGCAAATAACGCTGAAGCTCTGGTGGGGCTCCAAGTGCTGCTGCGGCTCGAATGATTGTGTCAACTGACACAGTGTCGAACACTTTATCAACGTCCGTTTTCAGGCAGTCGAACTGAACCCTTCTCAAAATGCACTGTTAGATATATGTGGTCTTAAGACACCCATCCCAATTATGAAACGCGACTTGAAGTGAAGCCAGAGTCAAACGTGACCTCCAGCTTTTAGCCAAAACTTTATGTAAGACCCACATCAGAATCGATGAATCCGCGATCGGGCGATGATCTGACGGCGTGCTGGGGTCCGACCACTTGGGCACCAACGTCAGCCGTGTTGTTGCAAGAGATGCGGGAGGGCACTCAACCACCATCATAAGATTGAAAAGCTGTGCGATAACTGTCACTTCCAAGGATTTACAGTCCGCCACCGTCAACTTATCTAGTCCTGTGGTCGTACCTCCGACGTTCCGCAGGGCATCACAGACATCTGCTTAGACAATGGCTTAATCAGACCATATTCATGGCCTTTCTCTATGGGAACCTGTTATAATTGCGGGAAATGCCTCTTGTGTTGGCGTAACGCCTGATAACATTGTCGCTGGCACGGTTGGAGCACGCCTACGGTAACGTATTGGATCGCTGATCAATCGAACGGATTTGCGCTGACCTGATGTCGTTAGCTTAGGCCGGCGTACGCGCTGGTGAGACGGAAATTGTGCGAGCGTGAGAACGATCCTAGTCGCACGTATTCGGATAGATGTTGAGCCCTCGGAACGGACGCACACGAGAGGGGGTTACGGTAGACGCGCGCTAGTGACTTACACACTAACGCTGCCAGGCTAACGACGCACACAAAATCACGTGACCCAACCGACTCTCGAGTAAGGTGAAGAGGAGAGCAAGATAGGCGGTCCTCTGAAGGCTCTTTTATGACCAACAAAGGGCGAATCACAGCCAATGCAATGGGTTATAAAGTTACGGAAAATTGCTACCACGAATAGGTGGAAGTTTGCAAAAGACCATTGTCAAACGGTGTGCAGTTGGACTGCGTCTCGGAGTGGCTGAACGCTGCTGCCTTGTGGGGCGGAATTGAACCTCGCTTTCCACAGCCATTCTGCCGGGGTTTCTGACGCGTTTTTGCGGGAATATATGACGGGCCCGCAACACCTCCCTTGGAAGAGAAAGCGTACCGCTTCTGACGAACATCGACCTGGAGGGATTTCGATGACCTCCGGATTCTTCCTTTTCGTCGGCAAGGCGGGTTCTCCAGACGCGGGGCGATTGAGGGCTTGACCGTGCTCTGTCGTTGTGTAGCCCATCCGAAGGGATCCAACAGGATGTGCAGCGGCAGGCGCACGGGAAGGCTGGCTGGCGTGGAGGTTTCTCCGTTGCGCGGTCAAAGTTGATTGCGATGGCGAACCCAGGTGTCATCACCCACGGAGACATCATACAGCATGTCACCTCGCCTGGCCGTCACTGTTGCTTTGATCCAGCGTGGATGACCTGCTCGGTAATCAAGAGCGTAAACGGAGCTCCAACGACGAATTCTTTGTGCTTGGTGCAGGCACTAGAGTGACTAGGTGGCTTCTCAGTCGGAATGAGTGCTTTGTTGGTGGTGCGTAGCTTGCGACTCATCAATGCTTCAGCTGGTGACTGGCATCTCGGCGTAGCTGGATTCGGTGTCGACCGGTACGTGAGCAGGAAGGCTTGAAGGCACTCATCCACGGTCCCCTCCCCGTGAGATTTCAAAAGCGCCCTCTTGAAGGTGTCGACAAATCGCTCCGCTTGACCATTGGATTGGGGATGGTAAGGCGGTGAGCGGAGGTGTTCGATACAGTGTGGGCGACAAAAGTCTTCGAAGATGGAAGAGGTAAACTGGGTAGCATTGTTGGACACCAAAACCTCAGGAAAACCATGTTGACTGAAGATTCGTTGGAGACAACCCAGAGTGGCGGATGCGGTTGATGGGTTGACAGCGACCGCTTCTGGCATTTGGAATAGGCGTCCACCACTACCAGATAGGAAATGCCATCGATGGGACCCGCGTAGTCAACGTGCACTCGAGACCATGGTTTTGCTGGCGGATGCCAAGGAACAGGTGATAGATGTGGTGGCATCTTTGAGGCTTGTTGACATTTCGAGCAGCGGCGGACCAGATGTTGAATGTCGTTGTCAATGCCAGGCCAGTACACATAAATGCGGGCAATTGCCTTCATTCTGCTCATACCGGGGTGAGCAGAATGGAGCTGGCGGAGTACAGCTTGCCGGAGGCATAAAGGAACGACAACTCGGTCTACAGTCATGAGGCAGGCATCGACCACGTAAAGGGAGTCGCGGCGTTGATGTAGTTGTTTGAGTTCACCAGTCAAGGTAGTGTTTGGCCAGCACATCTGAACGTAAGTGACGGCTTTCTGCAAGACAGGGTCTTCAGCAGTTAAACGACGTATGTCGGCGGCAGTGATGGTGAAACTTCGGATAGCGTTCGATAGTTAATAATGAACGTCGTCCTCGACGGTAACAGCGGCAACCACTGTGTATTCTACTGCGGCATGTTTGGAAATGAGGCGGGAGAGACCGTCGGCTTGACCAAAATTCTGAGTACGGCAGTAGCGGATTTCGAAGTCGTAACCAAGAAGAATGACAGCCCAACGCTGAAGTCGGCTAGCCGAGCATGCGGGAACGCCCTTCTTTGAACCGAAGATTGAAAGTAGGGGCTTGTGATCGGTCAATAGCGTGAACCGCCGGCCATACAGCATCTTGTTGAACTTGGTGACGGCAAAGACGATGGCAAGGGCTTCCTTCTCGATCTGACCATAGTTTTCCGCAAGCGTCAGAGTGCGGGAGGCGGGCATAACGGCTTTCTCGGAACCGTTTGAGAATCGATGGGAGAGAACTGCTCCGATCCCGTAGGCAGAAGCATCGGCAGCGACCAAAATCGGCAAGGTGAGGTCGTAATGGGTCAACAGAAGATCAGAACTCAGCATGGCTTTCAGGCGAACAAATGCTTTCTCGCATGCGGGAGACCAGTGCCGAGGAACGTCCTTCTGCAACAACCGATTGAGCGGGGCTCGAACATCGTGTAGCAATGGCAGGAAGGCGCTGTAGTAACTGATAAGACCCAGGAAGGACCGCAGTTGTGACATCCGCTGGAGCTGGCATCTGCTGGATGACTTCGACGTTCTCAGGATCAGGATAACGACCATTGGCGTCGAAAACGAAACCAAGGTATTTGATCGACGGAAGAAAGAATTGGCATTTCTCAGGTTTCAGGCGGAACCCGTACTCCTGGACCCGTTGCAGGACTGCACCCAGGCGCTCTCGAAGCTCTTCTGGGGTGCGACCAACAATGAGTAGATCGTCCAGGTACGCGGCCGCACCCGAAATACCAGAAATCATAGCGTCCATCGTCTGTTGGAAAATGGCTGGAGCGGTTTTGACACCAAACGGGAGCCTGGTGTACTGGAGAAGACCACGATGGTTATTGATCGTCAGGAGGGCTTGTGACTCAGCGGCGACCTCGATCTGCAGGTAGGCGCCTGTTAGGTCGATTTTAGCGAAACACGTGCCACCGTTGAGTATTGTGAAGAGGTCGGCTGAGATCGGCAGCGGGTAGCACTTTGGCTCTAGTGCTGCGTTGAGACCGGTGGAGAAATCGGCACAGATGTGGAGGGATCCATTCGGCTTCTTGACCACGACGATCGGCGCTGCCCAGGCGGAATAGGACACAGGCACCAGGACGCCCATGTCTTCCAAACGTTGGAGTTCGGCATCGACCAAGGTTAAGGCTGCGTATGGGACAGGCCTTTTGGGACAGAATACTGGTTGAGCACCAGTTACGAGCTGTAACGCGGCGCGGGTGCGTGTACAGCAGCCAAGACCATCCTGGAATACCGGGGCGAATTGTCTGATAATGTCGGCGGTTCGATCGTTTGGTACTGCCGGAGAATGTACCGCACTGCAGATGGCCCGAAGAGGAAGATCGGCCAAGTCAAGGGTTTCGAGCCAATCGAGACCAAGCAAGTTGAGTTGCGCCTTCGTGATGTAGCGGATCGCGTTGAACGTGGTGCCTCGGAAGGAGACGGAGCAGTGCAGCTGCCCAGTTAGCTGCACGCGACCACTACAGGCGCTGGTGGCAGATTGGGAGGTCAGTTCGAATGGTGGCTTGTCAAGGGATCACCAGAGATTCTCGGAGATGATCGTGATGTCCGACACAGTGTCCAACTGCAATCGGACCGACTGACCGTTGACCAAGACGTCGACGAATTTTCTCCGATTCGCAGCGTTGATTTGGAACGTGGCCAGGAGGCTCAGGGAGCTGCCAACCGGACCAGGTTTGGGGGTGCGTCTGAGTCGGGACCTCTTCTTTGGATCGCGGGTGGGGGCCAGCGCAGTTTTGGTCCCCGTGGGAGATGGAGGATGGCAGTAACCATCCCGGTGCCGCACCCTGCCACAACGTTGACAACGATGCTGGCGGAACTTGCAGTCGCGGTGGAAATGCCAGGGACCACAGAATCGGCACGCGTAGGGTGAGGACTTCGCTCGGTCGGATTGGGTGGGGCGCGCGGACGATTGCGCCCTCGGTGCTGTGACTGCCTGTACCATACCAGGTGCGGCGGCGTTCTGGATCATGGCAGGATCGTGCTTCAGGTTGAGCAGCGTTTGACACTCCTCGGTCAGGTTCTGGATTGTGACTGAGCTATCCTGTTGTAGCGTGGACAGGAGGCGCGTCCGGATATCGGCATCGTGTGTAGACTGGAGGCCAGAGACGAAGATGAGGCATTTGAATTGGTCCTCGGTGAGCGAGCCAAGTTGAAAACGTTGGCATTCACGGTTGGCCACGTCTACATAAGTGATGAAGTTGTCGGCATCACGTTTGGCCATCTGCAGACACTGATAACGAGAATTGAACAGAGAGGACAACGTCTGTCAAAGTATAACCAACATGAATATGCCTTGGGACACACTTGTTGGACTGACAACTGATGGAGAACGGGCAACGTGCGGCGAAATATGCGGACTAGCTGGAAGGATGCAGTTAAAGATGCAGGTGAGTTGATAACATATCACTGAGTCACACACCAGAGAACGTTGTGTGGTAAAGTCTTGAATATGGAACATGTAATGAGCACTGTTACACAAACCGTAAACTTTATCAGAGCCAAAGGTTTAAATCACCGCCTGTTTCAGTCTCTTTTTTACAGGAATGGATTCACTTTTCGTGTACCTAACTTATCATACAGAGGTACGGTGGCTAAGTCGTGGAAACGTTCTCATGAGAGTATTGCAGCTGATTCAGGAAATCTGTCAGTTGATGGACAGCAACGGAAGACTGCACAGTTTTGCGGAATGAAAAGTGGAGATGAGAGTTGACGTTTCTGTCTGACATTACCGCTCATCTCAAAGTCTTAAACCTGCAGTTTCAGGGACGAAACCACTTGATCACTGACATGCATGATTCAGTGAAGGTATTTCAAGTGAAGGTACGTTTATGGGAAACACAAATGCACCCATGCAACTTTCCTTGTAGCAAAGCTATATTGACCCAAGTCAGCGACATGATATTCCGAAATACATACTTTGCTGAAAAAGTGAGCTCACTTCGCGCTGAGTTCGCATTGCGCTTTAGTGATCACGACGAACAGAAAAGTAATTTCGACCTGTTTCGCAACCCATTTGCCATCGACGTGGAAACTACACCCGTACATTTGCAGATGAAACTCATAGAACTGCAGTGTAATGCGGCACTCAAGGCAAAATACGACACTGTTGGGCCCGCACAGTTCATCCGGTTCATTCCTGATGGCATGCCCCAGCTTCGCCTACATGCGGCTTGAATGTTGAATATGTTTGATAGCACATAGCTGTGTGAGCAACTGTTCTCTGTGATGAGGTCAACAAAACATCACACAGGAGTTGTCTCACAGATAAACACCTGCAGTTCATCCTGGGAATCTCCATTGCACAGAACCTTACTCCAAACACATGAATGAGCTTGTCGCTAAGAAAAGATGTCAAACATCCAGCTCTGAAAAATTGGCATAAAAGCTAAAATTAGTGTGTCTTATTTTGATTTTATTCCAACTTATGTCAATTTCAGTAAATACTATTGTTTAAAAAAGACTTAGTTTGCCACTGTTCAAAGAATGTTCATTCCGTGTGGCCTGCGACCTTAAGTGTGACTTCGAATTTGGCCCACCGTGAGACTGAGTGTGACACCCCTGTACTACATCATGGCATCCTGGATGAAATATCGGCGTTTCCGTTCGAAGCATACATACACGTATGGAAGTAGATGATCAAAAATACAGTAAACCCGGCTGCACAGATTTGTTGCCGCGTGATGGAAGAACGGCAAAGTGCATACCTTCCTGACAGCCTTCAGGAAACAGATCAATTAGGTAACATTAAATATTGGGACACCATGGGCTTCAGCCTTAACGGAACAACTGTAGTTCCAGTTAACCCGGAAAACGTGGTGCTGGTGGCTAGAAAACCGTACACCATTACATCTGTGGATACCGGAACTGATAACACAGCCGAAGTTGATTGCCGCACATTTGTGGGCTTGTCTGTTTTGTACAGACACAGCAAGCAATACTCACAGATGCTTGTCTTCTTAGCGCGCGGAATAAGTGACCGTGGAAGATGATTCAAAGTGTCGGGGATTGCATGCAAATGCATGGTCAGGAGAGATGCCACGTACTTTGTCACAATACTGTTGCTACATACCTTCCACAAGCACTCCCCGGATGAAAGCATGCTTATCAGCATGGAATGGTACGTTCGTAGTTCAAGCACCTATCTGCGCTAGATTGATGTCTTTTTGAAGCTACCATGTGCGCACCACGTAACGCGTTATTGTTATGTTATAGGAAGTAAGTTGAATTACGCAGCTTCATATCCACGTGGTCCCGATTAACCCGCCATACGTGTTATCTGTTACATGAGAGGCATAAATTCTCTGCTAACAGCATTTCCACATATAGGTGATATGTCGACGCCAACCTATTTCATCGTCCGCCTGGATGCGTACGGTATCACACGAAAAACAACCAAAAGGCAACACGTGGCTGTTTGTAGACGACCGGCGTGTCGTCATTCAAACCGTATCTGTACACAATCATCACAATGCTATGCGACAACATCGGAGACCTGAGGCCCGGGATACATGGCATAGCGTAAAGGTGATTCGCCATTCAGATAAGTGTTTGCCTTCATAATGTGCCACTAGGGGATTTCGACAAATGTATGCTATACCCACATGGCATGTGTGATGAAGATCAAACAGAGGATTCCGACTCCAGGGTATTCATGGGGTCGCCATCCACAAGGTTGACGTAAGGCTTCATATTATAAAATCCGTATCCTAATTTTGCAAACGTCCGTCACAGAGAATGGCAGCAAATAGCCCCATTTGAATACTTGCCCATAGATATGGTGGCCCAGTTTCCAATAGACTATATGCATGCCGTTTGTTTGGGTGTTATGAGACGCCCGATCTCACTGTGGACAACGGCAGCACCATGTAAAGACTTTCGCTTGGATATGGACACTGCGGCACGTCTTAACGAGGTGCTGGACAGGAATCGGTGTCATTGGCCACGTGATTTTCCACGACATTGTAGAAGCGTCGATAAGTTTCGATGGCGGAAAGCGACTGAATTTCGGCATTTTTTGTTGTATGCCGGACCCGCGTTCCTAGCACATTTTACCGGTAGAGAATTACATCAATTTCCTGGATTTGCATTTAGATAATTATCTGCTTTGTCATCCATTGCTATTCAGGAAATGTTCCGCTTTTGCACATAATGTACTTATGGTATTTATTTCGCGTTTCTTCCATCTTTATGGTGCTGAAGAAATGACATTTAACATGCATTCCTTGTGCCATTTAGCACAAGATGCAAATAGACATGGGACACTGGATGATTTCTCCGCCTTCCCTTTCGAATCTTACATAATGTGTCTGAAAAGACGGATACGAAACCCAGTAAACATGGTGCCTCAGCTATTGCGGCACTGTATGAAGTTGCAGAAAAACGTCACCAAGGGCAACAGGCCTTCGGAATTAAATGACACCATGAGCTACGTTCAAATAAATAGGCAATTAGGCTTAAATTATATGGGACCGTGTTCTTTGCATGCAACCCGGATAACCTAATCATTGTAGGAAAAATACAGCACCAAATTGTGTCCGTACACCAGGACGTGGGCGCAACCGGATATGTGAACTGCATGCCTTATATTAATCTACGTGATTTAGAAAATCATAGTACGCCATAGACGAAGCTACACATTTATGCTGCCAGTGATGTATCTGATAAATTGAAGCGCTTTCCCATTCATGAAATTTTATGCAAATGCGTTTCATTCAACGTTAATTTGGACCAAGTCATCATCTCATTGTTGCATACATTTAAAATGCAAGAACCCAGGGACACGTAGGTTTGCATTTATCGGTGCTGTATGCGATTATGCAGGAAATTGTTACATCCAGGGTTACCGGTTCTACCGACATGTTAACCGTATCAATGGGGAGCGATTTCCATGACAATACCTTCATTAATGAAAATCCTTTGCAAATCCTCCGAATTTGCGAGACAACTGAACGCCATGGAAGGCCCCACTGCTTGCATCTCGCAGGTGCACTATGTCGAGTAGTAGCCTTCGTTGTGCAGCGCAAATAAGGGATTATTATTATTATTACCTCCACTGTAAATTTCCCGCTTTCCTTTTCCGTTGTGTCCCCCTATCCGGAAACCCAAAAAAACGGAAAAAGCTTTTGAAACCGTAAAAAAACGACAGAAGTTTTGAAAACCCCAAAAGAATGCAAACCGTTTTGAAAACGCATACACAGATTTCCGTGTTCCTTGGCGCCTAGGACATCCGGTAAGTGTCATTGTTTATTTTGCCCTTGCTATCACTGTCACTGCACTTATTTCCCTTGCATGTACGAACAGGGCATGATGAACCGGAGGACAACTGGTGACATGTACGAGCTGGCGAACATTGGACGCTCACGAACTTCCACTATTTCGTTTTTGGCACTGTTAGGGAGGACACGGGTGGGAGCCCGCTAGGGTCCGATCGTCTGGTTCTCCCCCAGCAGCTACATCAGGTTTCACCACCTGGTCTCGCAGAAGGCTGGCCCGCGACGGATAGTCCTTATGTAAATCCAAGGGTCACCCACGGTTCTTGTCTTGTAAGTGGGCTGTGTAGTGACTTGCAGATTTCCCCCGGATTGATGCGTAAATTACTGTAAACTATTCCAAAGTTATAGCTTCCTTATGTATTAGGGAATTAGGCGGTTTGCCTGCCCGAATGATGTTCCCCTTTGTTTGAAACACCAATACGATATCCGCCTTTGGCTCGCGGGACTCGGACTGCCAACGAGGCCCCGTTCATGTACTCCACGTCCAGCTACATATTCCCTAGCTAGCTCTCCTTTGGTACCTCAATTTTAGCGTTAGCTAGCTCGTCTTAAGTTCAATAAACCTTTTCCATATCTTATTTTTGTGTGTTCTATTGATAGGCTTTTGTTGGCTGGCTAGTCTCGTACCACATATATATATATATATATATATATATATATATATATATATATCGCATCATGGACGTGTTATATGTTTGGCATATGCTTCATTCCTCATATGTTGTCATTTTGCCCTGTTCCATTCCACTGCGGAGGGCATCGACAGGCTCAATGCACGCAGTAATCATGCATTCCACTGCTTCTGTAGATATGCCGCTGTGGGATTTCTGCATCGTCAACTACATACACAACGACGTGCCCCACGTGGACAAAATTAGCAACTGCTGGAAGATGGGCAAGACGCTTTTCTGCCCACCATCTCCCTCTTTGAATACCACCAAGCTGTGAGGGAACACCGGTATCCCATTACCGATTGTAAAATGTTCAGTGTGACTGTGCTTCATCGTACAGGTATGCAGTATCATTTCATTAATTTCAGTGGAGTTTGATGACGCCTGCAACATGGAGAGATCCTACGTGGAGCAATCCTTGGCCACGGACACAGATTCAACCATT